AGGCAGGGCTGGGCCAGGCCGGGGCGGCAGCCCGAAAGCACGGGAATAGTTGCCCCCGGCGGATGGATGTCGGAGCGCCGCCATTTTGGGGGCGGTGCTTGGGACCTACTGAAATGGATTGTGTTGCTGAGAAACTGCTGCGCCGCATTCGCCCAAAGGCCCCTCCTCCGCGTGGGAAACATGTCTTTTACTAGTTTCTTTCTAATTCCCTAGGATAGGCATCGGTTCTGGTGCATCTTGGTAGCCTAAGCTTTTAGCATGGGGTCTGATATATAATGCGTGGTGAATGAGGGAGTGAACGAAGGACCGATAGGTGGAAACATAAACCTCTTCCAAGCCTCAGTACCCCTGCTTTATTTTTTTTGGTACTTTCATCAGGCTGACGATAGACTCTGGGGAAAGGGAGGGAGGGCAGCTTGCCTCTTTAAAAAAATTTTTTTTCTTTGATTAAGGTATTACATGTATCTTTACCCGCCCCCCTATGGTCCCCCATCCCCCGCTCATGCCCTCACCCCCCTAGTGTCTGTGTCCATTGGTTATGCTGATATACATGCATACAAATCGTTTGGTTGATCTCTCCTCCTAGCCCCCACCCTCCCCAGCCTTCCCTCTGAGGTTTGATGGTTTGATCAATGCTTCTCTGACTCTGGATCTGTTTTTATCAGTTTATGTTAATTATATTCCACAAATGAGTTAGATCATGTGGTATTTTTCTTTCATTGACTGGCTTATTTCACTTAGCATAATGCTCTCCAGTTCCATCCATGCTGTTGCAAATGGTAAGAATCCCTTCCTTTTTACAGCAGTGTAGTATTCCATTGCGTAGATATACCACAGTTTTCTAATGCATTCATTTGCTGATGGGCACTTAGGCTGTTTCCAAATCTTAGCTATTCTAAATTGTGCTGCTGTGAACATAGGGGTGCATATATTCTTTCTGATTGGTGTTTCTGTTTTCTTGGGACATATTCCTAGAAGTGGGATTACTGGGTCAAATGGAAGTTCCATTTTTAATTTTTGAAGAAGTGCCGAAATTAAAATAGTTCAATGGAAAATGACTATAAGGGAATTTCCAAGAACACAGGGCAAAAGGGAGACAGAAAACTTGAAAGAAGTGAAAAGAGACAGGGCGAACCTTTTGAGCTCGGCGTGGCAGCATTTTGAAAAACCCTAACTTAACTCTGGTGCCGTGTCACGTATAGAAATTTTTTGATATTTGCAACCATAGTAAAACAAAGACTTATATTTTTGATATTTATTTTATATATTTAAATGCCATTTAACAAAGAAAAACCAACCAAAAAAATGAGTTCGCGTGTCACTGACACATGTGTCAGAGTTTCGCCATCACTGATCTATCAGCTGCCTCCTGCACACCCCCTACTGGAGATGTGCCTGCAACCAAGGTACATGCCCTTGACTGGAATCAAACCTGGGACCCTCGAGTCCACAGGCCCATGCTCTATCCACTGAGCCAAACCGGTTAGGGCTGAGCATGTTTTCATATGTCTCCTGGCCTTCCTTATGTCCTCTTTCAAAAGGTGTCTATTTAGGTTCGTTGCTTATTTTTTTATTGGGTTGTTTATCTTCCTTTTGTTAAGTTGTATGAGTTCCCTGTAAATGCTGGAGATTAAACTCTTATTGTTGATAACATTGGCAAATATGTTCTCCCATGCAGTGGGCTTTCTTGATTCAGAGGTGCTCAAGCTCCAATCCTAAAACATAAACATCCAAGTATAAACACCAGCTATACTGGCCAACTAACTTCATGGTTCTTGTCTTTCTTTGAGAAAGACACAGAATGTTTCTCACCAAAACAACTTGTTTTTTCTAGAAATTACACATGTCGCTGAAAATGAAGTGTATAACTTTTAGTTGGGTGGATATTTATTGAGTTTGTGCTAAGTGCCAGGCACTGTATTATGCTTTGGCGACTCAACCGTCAACAACACAGGTACAGCTCAGGGGATACACATTCATGGTGGTTGGGAAATGATAGGGTGGAAATGCTGGAAGCTGGCCAACAGCAGTTCTCAAATTTTTAAATCTCAGAACCCCTTACATGCAAAAATTATTGAAGATCTCTAAGAATTTTTGTTTATGTGGATCGTACTTATCAATATTTGTCACACCAAAATTAAATCAGCCATTTAAAATTATTTATTAATTATTTTAGATATAATGAACCCATTATGCGCAAACATAAAGTTGAGGGTGGGGAAAAGTGTCCCAAAAGAAATAATTTCTATTTCTTTGCTTCTAAGTGTCCTGACCCCAGTTACTAGCTGTGTGAATATGGTTTCTACCATAACAATAATTTTTAAATCATATCTTGGGTTTTTGGTGTGTTGTTTCAATTACATTTTTTAATGAAGTTCTTGTGTTAGGAACTATTAGAGAACTGAACTTGCATGCAGTTTTATAATATAGATAACGTGAGTTGTGTTAGGCTCATTTAAGCATCGCTAAATATTTGTTCCTGGATCCAAAAATAGTATACAGCTGTTTTCAGCAATGTGTTATGGAATACTTTTCATTCCTGGGTGAGTTGATAGCATATCAGTGATGGCGAACCTGACACGCGTGTCAGAGATGACACGCAAACTCATTTTTTTGGTTGATTTTTCTTTGTTAAATGGCATTTAAATATCAAAAATATAAGTCTTTGTTTTACTATGGTTGCAAATATCAAAAAATTTCTATATGTGACACGGCACCAGAGTTAAGTTAGGGTTTTTCAAAATGCTGGCACGCCGAGCTCAAAAGGTTCGCCATCACTGGCATAGGTGATAATATGCTACATAGCCCTACTGCATGTATCCACAGGCTCCTCTGAGTAGGTGGTCACAAAGGTTCCTTATGCCTATGTCCCATGTGACCCAGCCACCCTAGCCCAAAGGCTATCCAGAGGCCTGTGAAGTGACTTGGTAGGGTAGCCCTGCATTCTAGACAATTTGATGAACTGAGCCAATAAAAGCCTCTCTCAGTGAGAGGAATGTGTTGGGAACAGTGACATGGTCCAAGTAGCACAGAAGCAGGGAGGCTTATATAGGAATTGTAATAAGCAGAACAGAGGCCTGCTGTACAGTTTCCCAGAGATGAGAGGAGTAGCTGACACAGTGAGAGAGGGTCACTCAGTCACTGTAATAGTGGAGTTGGAAGCTAAGCACACTTGTACCTAAATGGTATTCTATTTGACCATGAGACCTGACAGTTATTTTTTAAACAATGCTATTGTCTGTATCAGGCCTGGTTTTTCTTTGTTCTTATTTCCCTATGTATTCGTAGAATTAACTCCCTAGTAACCAAGGTAATCTGGAAGCATCTCTGTCTTGGTAACCTGTCTTTTTAAAGATTTTTCACAAGTCACAGAAATGCTCAAGATAACAAGCAAAAAGGGGACTCATTATTATAAAGATAGAGGATAGCTCTTGAAACTCCAGGACCAGAATAGAGATGGGCCACATGAGTGGCTGCCGAACCCAGGAAGCTGAACCTGTCTTGGAACCCAGACAACTGGCTTGTTTCTGAATATCTTCATTCTCCTGTTTTTGACCTCTGTAAGTGGTGATCTGTGCTGTACTCCTGGTCTGACAGGCCACGACCTTCTTGGTAGGTAAAAAATACATTGACCTACAAAAGCATAAAATGCTTGGCCAGAGAAGTCACCTACCTGGCCTAGAAACTTTTTCTGGAAAATTACTGAACTACACCAAATGAGATTTATTTTAATGGCCCTTTCCAGCTAACTCTATTTGGGTATTTTTCTGTCCCCACTTCCTGTAATCTCAAAACTTAGTGGAAATAAGTAACTCTTTTTGACAAGCGATTGGTGGATCCCTGATTTAAAATGGTTATAACTATGGAAATTCTTAAACCCAAATTTGCTATTTTCAGTAGATATACCATGTTAAATGTCTTGTGACACTTTCAACTTCATTGATAAACAGTTACTCACTGAACATTTTGGTTATACCTAAGCCTGTGCCTTTGTTTTCCTGCATTAGAGCATATTATTATGGTCCATTATTACTTTTTTTTCTTTATTGATTACATATGTGTCCTTATCTCCCCATTGCCGCCCCCCGCCCCCACTGGTCCATTATTCTTAGTCGTGGTCAGGGCAGACCCTGAGCAAAACTGAGAAGTATATAAAATTTGTTTTTCATGTGTCCCATCTATCCCCCCATTTCGGACCCTCTCCAAAGAAATGAAATCTTCCATCATAACTTTCTGGCACCACAATAGGTAGTGTGAAAGACAATGTAGATATTGGAGCCTACTTGTAAAGTTAGCTCCGACAAGGATAATATGTTTTTTAAAAAAAATCACCCCCTAAAAAACAACAACAAAAGCACCAAGAATTTTAATCCCAATTCTTTAACTCTGGAAGGGAGACTGATGCCCTATTAAACTAGGGAAGTATTTTATATCAGATCCCTAAGTCACCTTGGGGTTACTTAAAATGAGGAAAACGAAAGTTCTTTGAGCTCTAGT